AAAAGCATAGGACCCCCCCTCCTCTGCGCTCCTCACTTCCCTCGGACCCCGATATACCTCCTTAATGAAGACGAACCAATTTTCGCGTCAGCTGGAAGCTGTACGTAATAATAGTACACCTCTCGTTCCAAACAAAACAGAAACGGCAATAAAGCTCAACAAAAGGTCGTACTTGAAAATAAAAAATTGTTTTTATCAGTAAAAACCGAACACAATGATTACTTTGTATTCAATGTTTTCCACGTTATTATTTTTCATAAGGAATTTCTCAGTCAAGTGACGGATATAATACATGGTTTTATAAAGGAACAATAGGAAAAAAAAACAAAAAAGAATATTTGAGCACTTTGCGGTGCTACCAAGTTGCTTTTGTTCTGAAATTAAATGAATTTTAGACTTTATGCGACCGTAAGATGATTTCCTTATTATTATATCATCGCAAATACCTGTGTGTATATGATCGATTGTTTGGACATTACCGCGTACAGAATTACTCTCCCGAGCACGCATACAATGCGAGAGAAGCCTGTTCGAGCAAATTCGTTATAGGAGAAGCCTTATTTTCGACAGAACAATAAATTATCAGAAATACTCCGCTTTAAACGTAATTGAAAGAGAGTAGAATCAAAACGTATCAACCGTACGTTGATAATAGTGCACGGTTAACTTCTTTTTAACCCAATATTCGTTTCGATAAGCGGCATTAGCGGTTACAAGTTTCATATTTGACACCCTGTAACAGCGTGTTAGAATTGTGACTGCAACTATTTTAGCATGGGATAGACTAAGCATAAACGAACAAAAATACTGTTTATTATATACACGAGCGTAACATTACATCGTAATAATTCGCTTCGTCACTGTAGACCCGCACTATCTCCCTTCGCATGCACTGTAGGTTGCCTACAATTCATGTATTTGTAATACATGAATATTACAGTTCATTTTGATGTGGGTATACTGTCACCTATTAATATTACGCCAGTCACACTTCCAACACGCCGCGTATACAGGGTGGCGGATACGAAACCTAATTTTTCCACATAACAAGCGAAAGACCTTCGAAATACTCATAGAGATAATCGGAACGGTCCCAAGATATGCGATACATTTGGGTAGCGGCGTTCGAAGTTTGCTAATCGAAGGGTTTCAGTGTGCGGCAAAGCTCGAAAGAGTTACGACGCCGACAGGCGTCGAACGAGAATAGTTGGAGGGGTTCGATCCAAACCGGGAGACTGGCCTTTCCTCGCCGCTCTGCTGGGAGGCCCCGAAGAAATATTTTATTGTGCCGGCGTCCTAATAGCTGATCAATGGGTGCTCACAGCGTCGCACTGCGTTGGGAAGTAAGTCCCTTTTGTTTCAGATTAATACGCGCAAATCCATTTTCCCTCAACGGCCATATTTAACAGCAAACTTGCCCGGTTTGCTTCCCGGTTCCTGCGGCGCAACAGCGGCTTCGAGGCCTCCACGAAAATCATTCTAACTCTCTGATGATTTTCAACGCACAAGCAAACGCTCCAGTCTTCTAGCCTGGCTTGCCGCTACTATTTTTAGTTCAGTTGTGCTGCAGGAAAATCTACAAGTATCATTTTGTCCTCCAAAGGGGCATAACTATATACCACTGGCAAAATAGTAGGCAGTGGCTCATTCCCTTCCATGGGCGTATCATTTTAGAGGTTCCAAAAATTGTTACCCAACAGGTAGCTTTTGATTTATATTAAAATATGCATTCACCGATTCTAGAATTCAGAAGATTCAGTCCCACTAGAAAAAAAATCAATGTGTGATAGGTTAAACCTTAAACATGTTTCGTCGAGTAGTGAGTCTTTACTACTCGTACGCTTATGACACGCACTGACACACCTCAGCGAAGTAAATTCAATTACTTTACCAGATTAAGAAGTAGTAAAACATAATTTATCTTACTTATGACTCTACTGCCTACTGTTTTGACAGTGGACGCGACTGGACTGAAAATAATGAACTTTCATTACATTCGGATTGCAATGAGAAACCAGTTTTTCTCGGTGGGTTGTACAGTGCCATTAATCGACCACGCCGGCTAATAGAATTTACTCGATTTTCAGCCACTCGGACGTTTCCGGTTGGACGATTCAACTGGGGATAACACGGAGGCATGCGCACTCATTCTACGGACAAAAAATGAAAGTTAAGCGAGTTGTGCCGCATCCGATGTACAACTTAGGCGTCGCTCACGACAATGACGTGGCTTTATTCCAGGTAAGTCTGGATATATTAAGAACGCCGAGACGCAGGAAATTAAACGGGGTTTTTCTTTGGGAAATCTGTGCGTTGGAAATTACGTGATATACAATTTCAACCGGCCCGAAGGGCGTTACGGCGTACGATTCAAAACCGCGTGCGATTACTTACGAAAAAAGTAAATATAGTACATGGATATTGTAAGCTACTATTTCAGGCACAATTTCCGGTTTTTTTTTCTCTTTATTTATTGAATATTTTGCCACCTGTGAACAGAAATCAATAAAATAAACCCTTGTGCCAAAGCAGGATCGGCATCAGGGAGGGCTACGGAAGCTAGAGCCCTGAGCCTCACCATATCAGGGGGCCTTGGCGGCAAGATCTGGTAAAATGAAACCAAAAAGTGTTTAGAAAAATACATGACTTTTTTTTAGAATTAAGGCAAATCGTGATTAGGCTTTGAAATTTTATTATTATTTTTTTTTAAGAAAAAAGGCCTCTTTTCACTTTCCTCCTAAAAAATTTTGGCCGAGCCCGATTGAATTGTATGACCGGTTCGAGCATGGTACTGGAGGTAGTCTTCCAACGGCTGGGATCGTTACAAGGCAAAGAGAGAGATAGCTGCTATAAAGGTACATCATGTCTCTCTCTCTCGCATATTGGCTGTTCCTGTCACGTATATATAGAGCGGATCAGTCGTGAGCCAATCACGTTCGGCGAGAGAGATAGCATGTACACTGAAAAAAAAATATTTGGATCAAATGAGCAGATAGTTTTTAAATGGAATTATTTGACGTAAATGTTATTTTATTCTACTCAAATGTGTATACTTTCGTCAAACGATGTGAAATTTTTCTTAGAATTTATATTATTTGTAAATATATATAATTTAGTTCAAATCTTACCTTAAAATCAAATGTTGTACATTTGAATCAAGAATTTTTTCTGCGTGTACCTTCCTAGCAGCTATCTCTCTCTTCGGCCTTCGTGGGTTGGCTGCCTCGAAGGGTTTTCCAAGCGCAAATTTTTCAAAGAATAACAAAAAATATATATGGGAGCATATTAACTACTACCGAAGACATGTTCGGTGTTGTCTGGCCGACTAATTACGTTCATGCGGCAGCAGCGTTTTGTCGACATTCCACATATACCCGTATCAATAATATGTCCACCAGTTCGTGATTCAAACAACGGCTTGTATCGTTAAAACTTACTTTTTTCTACCATTTCTAGGCGGATTTTACTAAGATACACAGCGATATTTCAAAACTAGACTGACGCTAGACAGTAAATAGGTAATAGTTGTTCAAGATTGCCCAGATAATAAATAAAATGGCCTGGGTGATAAATTTTTCCGTACTATAACGTCGTTCACAAACCAACAACTTTATTTTCATAAAGACCGTGCGAGGTCCTTTGCAACATGATGAATGTTTTTCGTTAATGTTGTGACAAGAAACTCGCTTTATAATAAAAAAAATTATTTATTAATTCATCGCATAGGTACTTTATTTCAGTTCAAGAGTAAAACCCAAAGGGATTTTATTTATTTATTTCAAGTAACACCAAACAAAACATATCTGAAACTAAGTTAAATTATTTAAATGTAAATCGTATCGTACGTGTAGCGGGAAACAAATGAAATGACCAAAAATACGTTCACTATCATCAGGACATTCTTCAGGCAGGTGTAATCGGGATCGATGAAGCTCCATATGGTAGGAACCAGTCGTATGACTGTGTACAAAACAAACAGAAAGAATATGACGATATTCTCGTTGAGCAAAAATAACGCCTTCAGTACTTGGTACATATCCCTGAAATTATCGTAGCTGAAAAACGGCGCGTCCAAAGCTTCGAGTAAATCCTTGTTATACTCGAGCTCACTCCAACAGTGCTGCTGGTGAATGGCTTCTATGATAATGTGGATCCGTTCTCTGACTAGATACAGCTTGCTTCTAACAATATTCCGGTACACCCTAAAAAAGAACCCGTTCAAAGACGCAAGCATTGTTTCTCTGTTCATAAAATCTTTATACGACTGATGTGCTAACTACGATATCCGGAAGAAACCGCGGTACGGCTAGCAATTTTATATTTATAGACATCTTTTAAAGGTCCTGAAATACGCGAGAGTATTTCGTGTGTGTCTAATCATAACCAATCACTACTTATAGAAGCACAATGAAGCGGAAAGGAAAAGCATACAAATCCGACGGTTTCAACTGTGACCTTTTGTAAAAAAAGGATTTGTCAACTTCACAAATACTTTTATTTGTCTGCATTTTAATTCACACCAAATGAAATCGTTGGGGAATTAAAATAAATGACATACGAAACTTCGAATGAGTCTTCAAAGTTTTTATAATTGCAAAAACTACTTCTAAGATGCAAAGATCCATTTGACTTACGGTATGGCGTACATGATAATGAATCCCAGTCTCCATTCCAGCTCTTTCACGGACAAAGATCCGTAGTACATTTTTTGGCCCAAAATCCTGTACTTCTTGATCTCCTTGTTAGTCCACTTGTACTTGAGACCTCTTCGTTTGACCTCCATGTGGACGTCTTGCAGGATCTTCAAGTAAACGAACAGATCGTCCTCGTCTTGAAAATAATTCACCCATCTGAAACACCACACTTGAGGAATTTAACACCAAAGGGTAAAACAAACTCACCTCAGGCCCGTATAGAAAAGGTCCAACAGTTCTTCATCGGTTATGTCCTTCAAATCGCGTATAAATGCGTTTCTAAATGGCGTAAAAGGGCTATGCAACATTTTTTTTTAAACGAAAACGAATTTTCAAATAAAACCTTGACAGCTCTAGACGCGAATGACGTTTGCGGTCGGTCTGCAACTCCACCGCGGCAGAAACAATAGGAATAACATATTACCGTCAAAATGACATCACAGTTACCTTCGCATACTTAATTTAAAACTGTTTTGATAGAATACGTTTCTAACGTATGTTGGAAAGAAGTTTCCTGCATTACCGACATATGTACGGCGACTGCAAATCCAAACGCCTACAAACCTCAACCAACGGCATTGCAGTATTTTTGAATTTAATATTAGTCGAAACACTAGGGGGCCAGATTAAAATATGAATTAAAACAAATATTGACGGTTTAAAAGATACTGGGTGTGGAAAATTATAAGTTTATTTTGAAATATCTAAACAATTTTTTAAATATCGTCTTGAAAATTGTCTCTTGGCAAAGCAAACAATAATTTCCTACTCCACTAATTTTGGCGCAGCTCGCACGGAGCGTTAGTCGTGTTCTATTCTTCTATCTTCTATCTAAATTTCGCTGCTCCGCCACTGGACTGGAAAAATGTCGTTATGAATGATTGATTAGTTGCCGTTTGACTACCTTCCAATTAGCGAGATTTCGTTTCGTATACATCAATTCATTTTCAGGGACGTGACACTTCAGGGATTGTCTTTAAACTAGAATACGTCTTTTCGAGGATAAATTCACACGCGTTTCATGTGCATAATGAGGTGATAAGTGATTTCTTTAAGAACAATTAGGCAGCGCGAGGAGCCGGCTCGCTAGAGCTTTCAATATCGCAAATACGGGAATTCCACAATTCACTTCGTTCGGTATTCTTTCCGCACCTTCTGCTCAAAATCGATAAACCCGTACGAGCATGGAAAATTAGTTATCAACAAAGAATAACTGTCGGAATCGGTGCGTTTATAATTCGCACACTTTTAAAGTCGTCCGCAAAATATGATATACAGGGTGATTCAAAATTAAACCTCGTATTCTTTGGTAAATTTTAAGGGGAGTCTTTCCTATAAAGTTTTTATTTAGGACGCTTCGTTAAAAAGATACAGGGTGTTAAATTTCCAAAAATATTTTCCTTTTCGACCACGGAAATGGAAAGAGCAGAAAATTCTGACATTGACCGTGACCTCAAGGTCAATGGTCAAGGTCAGTTCAGGGTTAAATGTTTTACAGAATCACAGTTAGTGATAGTCTTCGAGTAGATACCTGATGATAGATACCTACCTAAGGATCAGGTAGATCCTTAGTGGCCTTGATCTTGAGGTCACTAAAAAATTGTAATTCCATCGTCGAAAATAAAAAATGACAGCCGGAATAATCACTTGACCCCTACCTGACCTTGACCATTGACATTAAGGTCCCGTTTAAGATCACAATAACACGTAGAATTCTACGCTCCCTTATTTCTAGCGTCGAAATAGGGCGTCGCTACTCCAAAACCCGATATGACCTTGACATGTTCTTTCGACCTTGACTTTAAGATCAAGGTCACTAAGGAGTATCATCAGGTATCTACTCAAAAACTGTCACTCCCTCTGATTCCGCAATTCAAAATTGAAAATAACAGTAAAACCAACATTTGGCCTTGACCATTGACCTTGACCATTGACCTTGAGGTTACGGTCAATGTCATATTCGGATGCAGAATCTTCCGCTCTTTCCATTTCCGGAGTCGAAAAGGAGGGTCGCCATTTAAAAAAACCGACGGATACAACGACTCCGTTTTTAATTATTTTTGACAGTTTAAATTTGTTTATTTTTGCCTGTTTCATAGCTTGACGCATCATATGATGTTTATTCTATTATTACTTACTTGAGCTTTTAGAGCTTGCAGCCAACAAAGATCCAAGGTCATAGAATAATTTGGAACACATATTTCACGGTGAAACAAAATAATCGCGGCCTCTTTTCATTTTCTTTTAACGGTAATATTTTCTAAGTCTAAATGAAACGGGAAAAAATACGGTTCTCATCATTTTTAATCTACTTTGATTTTGTGACGTAGTTAAAAAAGTCGGAAGTCGCCCCATTCGCAACCGTTAAGTTGAGAAGAATGTCCCTAACGCGGGACTTGATGAGAGGCCGGTGGGATCCGTTGAAAATGAAGACAAAATAAACACACAGAGGATACAGGGGGTTCCTCATTTTAATATAATTTTAATCTGTTTGTAGCTTTCAGCGAGAGTGACATTTCATGAACATCTACTACCAGTGTGTCTGCCGCCGCCAAATAAAGAACTGAAACCTGGGACGAGGTGCACTGTAATCGGCTGGGGGAAGAAAGAGGACACGGGAAGTAAGTAACGAGATTAACTAAAAGCAAAATTCCTTGACAGGCTGCGCCTCTAAACTTGCTAAATGTTTCTCTTCACTTACCATTTAAATTATTATTCTCAGTGAGGGATCTGATTTGAATAACCGGTTCTGCACCTGTTAACAATTATCTTATTATACTGAAACAAGTTCGGATCTGTAAAGGGGATTATTCGAAAATCGCGAGCTACTTTATTTCTAATTAATGCTATTTATACGAAACTTTTAAACTTGCTTCGAACGCTCGAACTAAATTCAATAAAATGATCGGACTCCAGAAAGGGCTTCAATTAAAAGAACAAAATAGGGTAGTAACAAATTTACGATAAGTCCCAGCTCAAATAAGGGCTTATTGACTCAGGGAACGGTAAATATATTATTTTGTGCTGCCAACATTCCTGTATACAAATACTACTTCTGCTTCCTAAAATTACCACATTTATAGACCCAAACTGAAATAGGGGATCGGGTGCTACGAAAAAATGCACCCTATTTCGTATTATTGAGATATATTATTTTTGCAATGCGAAATCAAATTCTGTGAATTATTCGAGCCACACGAAAAAAAGCTGTCTGTACTTTTCATGCGACATATGTTATCAGTAGTATTTTTGCCTCCTGATCACGAATCCGCTGTCAGAATTGAGCTATCACATCACAGGAATTTCCTAACCTCAAAAAACAGTTCAAAAATAGCAAAAATTCACGAAAAACTGCTAGGAAAATAGAAATTTTTTTTTTCTATATTCAAATGTTCATTTATATAGTTATTAAGACCCCGCCCAACGTGAATCTGCGGTCAGAATTGATGGTTTTCTTTCTAACCTCAAAAAAACGGGTCAATTACGATCAGATATCACGAATTTTCTATAAATAACAGATTCGCGCCAAATTTAGTATACGGGGTCGCTGATTACGAATTCGAAGTCAGAATTACGAAATTCATCTTGTAATAATTTTGTACCCAATCATATGATTCAAGAAGGTTAAAATATTTTAACCTTCTTTTTTTCGGCTATATCTTGTTCTTTTTTCTGTAAAAGATCACGGATTTCCTGCCTAATGTTAGGAAATAAAGTACATACGTAATTGATTAAATTTTTAAAAACGAATTTTGTAAATCTGATCTTGGATTCGTTTGGCGCGAATCAGTTATTTTTTGAAAAGTTTGTCGGCCATCTTGCATCCGTCATCTTAAATTTTGCAAAACTGACCTCGGATCCGTGATCAGCGATCCCGAACACCCCCGTATACCAAATTAGGCTCGAATATGATATTTTTTTTAAATTTGGTCGGCCATCTTGGATCCGCCATCTTAAATTTTGCAAAATTGACCTCGGATCCGTGATCAGCGACCTCGAATCCTCCCGTATACCAAATTTAGCGCGAATATGTTATTTTTTTTAAATTCCTGATATCTGACCTTAATTGACCCGTTCTTTTGAGGTTAGAAAAAGAATCATCAATTCTAACCGCGAATTCACGTTCGGCGGGGTCTTAACCATATAAATGAACATATGAATTTAGAAAAAAAAAATTGTATTTTTCCTAGCACTTTTTCGTGAATTTTTGCTATTTTTGACCTGTTTTTTGAGGTTAGGAAATTCCTGTGATGTGAAAGTACAGACAACTTTTTTTTGTGTGGCTGTGTTATTTATCGATTTATTTAAATCTTATGCATTTTGATAAATCTTACAAATAATAAACTTAGCATACTCGTGCACTGTTGCCAACTTTCTGTTGCAACTCATGGCATTTATTTATGCATATTGGGTAAAACATAACAATTGAGAAATGGAAATATATAATTGTAAGTATTTGAACCTCGATTTTATTCAATACCTACGAACAAGTATCTCAATCTGCTTACTTTCTAGTCATAAAGAATATTTTTCTTTGTGTGAGAAATTTAAAGTATTAAAAAAACTAAAATAAATACTTTATTGCGATTTTCTCTAAATAAAAAAATTTCCCTTATTATTTTTTACAATTGTAATAAACTTTAAAAGGATGTCTAATATTTTAGCCTTCATCTGAGATTTTAACTATCAAGCAGTATCTAAAGAGAAATTTGTTTTATTCCAAAGTTCACACCAACGTTTTCTTGAAGGCTTAGAGTTTTGAAAGGTCAATCTTATCATCCGGCAACAGGGCACTATGCGAAAGGAATTCTTGGAACTATTGTCAATCAATAGATTTGACAATATCAGATAAAGCTAATTATCTGCATAATGCTACAAATAACGGTATATCCACCGGCTTAATTACAATTGGACTATCTAACAGACACGCAACATCGATTTGTTCGCAATTAACGATTTATACAATCAATGTTCTTTTGTTCTGAACATTAATCCTCAAAATAAACAGTTAACCTAAGTCGTTTCACTGAACGTTGACGCATTTGTTTAATTTTGTCCAGTGGGTGTCCTTAGCATATCCCCGAGCAGAGTGCGATGCCATGTGATCATTGACTCATATGTCTGCATTTGTATAACGACAAGTATGACTTGTGACTTGTCAGAAATGTCAGAATGTTTAATCACACACCCAAACTGACTGGGGTGGTATAACTCTAATTAATGTTCGCATTTGTCTAGTTTGATGCGTATAAAATTGTCATATCACATTTTATATCACTGACTAAGGTAATATGACACCGATTCTTAGTTTTATTTTTTTAATTTGACACATGATTTGTCACATATTAATAATGACTTGAGTCATATGATACTGAATCATGTTTACATTTGATTAATTTTGCGCGTACAACTTGTCAGAATCAGTCAGATTACATACTAACACTGACTGAGGTGATATGACACCGATTCATGCTTAAATTTGACGGGTACAATTTGTAAAATCACACTGATTGATGTTAACACTGATTAATGTTTTTGTTTGATATATTTTACGCGTATGGATTGTCAGAATAACATATCACAATAACACTGACTGGGATGGTATGACACTGATTCATGGTTAAATTTGACGTGTACGATTTGTAAAATCACACTGATTGAGGTTAACACTGATTAATGTTTTTGTTTGATAAATTTTACGCGTATGGCTTGTCAGAACGACATAATCACAATAACACTGGCTAAGTGATATGACACTGAATAATGCCTTCGTTTGTCTAATTTCATGCGAATAACTTGTGAGATCATATATTAACACTGACTGAGGTGATATGACACTCAATTTAACGGATATAACTTGTCAGATTACATCTCATATCGCATATTAATACTGACTGAATCGTGTTTATCTTTGTTTAATTTGACGTATACAACTTGTCAGAATATGCCAGATTGCACACTAACTGACTGAAATGACATGACACTCATTTACTAATTCGAAGCGTATGACTTTGCGTATGAAATTTGACGCCTGTAAATTGTCAGAATCACGCACCAACACTGATTGAGTGATATGACACTGATTAATATTTATATTTGTTTAATTTGATGCGAGTAACTTGTCAGATCACATATTAACACTGACTGAGGCGATATGACATGGGCTCGTATGTCTGCTCTTGTCCAATTTCATGCCAGATGTTCATGCCATGACTTGCCAGATCACATGTTACGTCGCGTCGCTTCGGTGTATTTCATAAACGTAAGTTTTGTTTCAGTGTCTGAATACGAGCCGGAAGTTAACGAGGTAGTGGTTCCAGTACTGAATCGGGATCTCTGCAATATGTGGCTAGAAAATCGCGAGTTAAATGTCACAGAAGGCATGATCTGCGCGGGATACAAAGAGGGGGGAAAGGACGCCTGCCAGGTAAGTTTCCAAACAAAGTTGTGAAAATCTTTTAATTTATTGTTTTTAATTGTTGACGCTTATCCATTTGTGTTTGGAACGAGTTATTTGAAGTATGTTTGATTATACAGGGCGATTCTGGGGGCCCGTTGCTCTGTCATGATCACGAGAGCGACGACCCAGAGAGGTGGTTCGTGGGGGGCATCGTGAGTTGGGGGATAAAGTGCGCCCACCCCCACCTGCCAGGAGTCTACGCATATGTCCCGAAATACATCCCGTGGATCCACTCCCAAATGCGGAAATACTCAGATTAGTTTCCTTTGTAGATAAGACAAGTAAAACAATTAATTTTTGACAATAATGAAACAAGATTGAAAGGTACAAATTATACAAGGTAAACTATGATTTTCTAAGGCATTTATATACAAAGAGAATGCTTACAAATGTTATGTAGACACATTTGTTATATTGTGGTAAAGCAGATTTTTTCCCTGCCACAAACCTGAGCTACGCACAATATCTAGATTGATCCTTTATAGTGATATCTCGTGACAATTCACCTAGTGTTCGAGCGGACCGCTACATGTGATCTGAATTATACAGCTGTAACATATACACAATTGTGACAAATTTTATCGGGCCCTATTTGCTTCGCTACATACCCTTTTTCGGTTTCAATCGCTTCCACGCAATGGGGTGTTTTTGGTTTAACAAACAGGTGAGAAAATATGAGATCCGCATGTTCTTCTTCTTCATTTTGACACCATGTAAGTTCAAAAAAAAAATATGCGTTGAGATATCATTAAGCGAAAATTTCAAATCCAGTGCCAAATATAGTAATTTTTATGTTTTAGTCTATTAGTCTTAATAGCTTTCGCAATTTCAGCTGGAATCTATTATAAGAACATAACTATTTGTAAATTGAAAATAAGTCATAAAATTATGATTAGAAATTCCACATATTAGTAAGTATGTAAAAATTAGTAAGATATTTTGGCAAATACCAATGTATAGAATCCCACCTAGTCGCTAGTTATGCCACCCCGACAATGTGATTTTTCTTTTTCGCTTAGTGACGTCATGCACGTAAAAAAAATTTCCAATTAAAATAAAAAAAAATTACCGATTTAAATTATCAAAATTCCTTCATGAAAAATATTAAATATAAACATAATAATAATATAAATTAAATAGAAAAATAGAACATTTCTAGTCTCTTTGTGGATAAAGAAAACTACCTCAATCGCTATTCCCATTTGTTAAAAGAATATACCAAGCAACTGTTCCCGGAAATAAGCAGAAATATAGCAAAAGTTATCCCATTTCTATACTAATATTTATTTTGAATTTTGGGAAAACTTAAATATGTGTCAAAGTAAATGTTTAGTCTAGTTAGAATTACATGTATCAGTGTCAAAAAAATGCTTTATTTGTATTAATGAGGTTAGATATATTCATTAAAATAGTATGTGTAGTTCGAATTTCATTTAATTTTGATGGAAAACCTTTCTTGAGATGACATAATTGCCGTAGTAACTACTATGTAATTCGTAAATTTTACAAACTATCGACTTTTCCAATTTTCCAAGTTCGATGCACTTATTACGGGCCATTAAAACAGAACGATATAATTTTAAAATGCCGACTTTCTGAAGCAAATACAATGAACAATATGACAGTGATTCAAAATTTTCTTTAATCTGACGAATTTGAATCGTCAGGTCACATTACAAATCACACATTAACACTTACTGACTGATACGACACTCAATGATTATTGCATCTTTCTAATTTGATGCGTATAACTTGTCAGATCACATATTAACACTGACTGAGGTAATACGACATTGATTATTATGACTCGTCAGATCACATTATCGCTACGTCAATAACATATGAGTACTAACACCGACTAGTATGATATGACACTAATTTGTAGCGTGCGACGTGCTAGACCATGTATTCACACCGACTGAACTGATATGACAGTGTTTCAAGGTTTTATTTGTTACAGATTACAGGTCAGATCACATTACCGCTATATCAATAACATATAAGCATTAACACTGACTGAAGTGATATGACACCAATTTGACGCGTACAACTTGCCAGATCACATATTAACACTGACTGGAGAAATATGACACGGACTGATACGATTGTTTTTGTTCAATTCGACGCGTACTACCTGTCAGAATGTCAGATCACATATTAACACTTACTGACTGATATGACACTGAATGATGTCTGCGTCTGTCTAATTTGATGCGTATAACTTGTCAGATCACATATTAACACTGACTGAGGTGATACGACATTGATTATTATGACTCGCCAGATCATATTACCGCATATCATAACGAGTATTAACATCGATTGGTGTGATATCACACTAATTTGCAGCGTGCGACTGGCTAGATCACACCGGCTAAAGTAATATGACACTGTTTCAAGGTGTTATTTGTTTAATTTGACGCATGTGACTTGTCAGATTACAGGTCAGGTCACATTACCGCCATGTTAATAACATACAAGTATTAACACTGACTGAAGTGATATGCCACTAATTCGACGCGTACAACTTGCCAGAGCACATATTACTAATATGACTGCTTTTGTTCAATTTGACGCGTCAGAATGTCAGATCACATATTAACATCGACTGGGGTGACATGACACTGATTCATGGTTTTAATTTGCGTTTCGCGCGTACGAAAAAAAATGCTATCTTCCTGAAGCAAATCCACTCTTTTGATGATTTATAACGGAACTTTGGAGATTTTTTGGGCACATTACAGTGGAGTACATTAACTTTTCTTGAGGGGTTGTAAAGAACACTGTATCGTTCTGTTTTAATGGGGATTTAAACAAATATGCATTTATTAAAACTGTCTAGATTACGAACATAGTTGAATAGAGAAAATTCTTGAGAGGGAAATTTTTTATTGATAAATGAAGAAGGCAGTGAACAAATATATAAATTACAAACTAGTTGGACTACTAGCTGAGGCTACAATCATGTACCTATTTGTTAACTGTAGCCAATGTTTTGTGTCAACGAATTGCTTTAATTATTTGTTAAATTAGCGATATTCTAGCTGTCGATAAGGGCGCGGGAAACTGTAGGATAATTAATATTTTTTGCAGCTGTTGATTGATGAAAGTATCACGTCAAAATATAACTAAAAAAAATCCAGCTAAATGACTAATGCACGTTTAATTAAAAAATAAAAAATAATAATAAGAGACCCTTATTAACGTGTACGAATGGCCACCAATGCATTTTGTACTAATCCGTGGTCTTAAACCCGTATTGTTACCGGAACAAAGCAGTTATTAATTAGAAAACTAGGTCTGCACGGTATACAGTGTAGGAAAGTACGGATGGTCTATCAGAAGTTACGTGAGAGCGATAAAGTAAGGCATAGAAATCCATGTGATAGACAAGGATGGCTATAATAAAGGTATCTAATAGTCAACGCCCATTTCGCCCTTCCACAAATAAGAAGTGGATCTTATTTGTGGAAGGGCGAAATGGGCGTTGACTATTAGACGCCTTCATTATAGCCATCCTTGTCTATCACATGGATTTCTATGGCTTACTTTATCGCTCTCACGTAACTTCTGATAGACCATCAGTACTTTCCTACACTGTAGAAACGGTCTCCGGGAATTTTCAACAAGAAATATAATTCATCAAAACTTATCCGAGCTGATCTTGTTCGACCCGCAAAAGATTTTAAACTTGACAGAAGTATTTAAAACTTCCCGGCAGAAAATATCGAAAGAATTTTATCCGGAACCTCAACAATGCGTGTACTGCTGGCATTCAAAGAGCTCCGTCAAACACTGAATACGGAAGAAATATTAACAAAAGCAGAGATAAATTTAACAATATTTACCTCCTGCTTGGTATTTTTGTACGCCGTAAATAAAAAGTAAGTCGTTACCTTAGGAGTGTTATAGAAGAATAAATTGTTCTAAAACTATGATCGATTTTATTTAGAGGAACATTTTTATCGGTTATGTATTTTAAATGTTACATCTAGGTTTATGATACGTGAAACAAAGGCAGAAAAATATTTTATAACGTAAATAATTGTACTTTTGTAGAGGTTATATTAGACGTAGCAATTATACAAATTTTTGAACGTATTACAAGTTACACAAACCGACTTTTCAGAAAGGGTATGTGGCGGTAGAGAATAAGGTGTAAATTTTTCACTTATGCTGAAGGTTTCGAAAATATGTTTAGGTAGTTAGTAGTATCCTTGCGTGTGTCAATTTAACCCACGGTAAAATCAGGGACATCGAGAAGTTATCATTTCCCCCGGAAAATTACATCTTTTGCTGGGTTCCCATATCGACCACATAAAATATTCGAAGCCGGTTACAATAAACATATAGGTTAATTTTAAGAGTAATTAAATTAATTTCGATCCATGACTTTCATTAACTTTTTAACCTGGTTTCCAAAGCATTCCAGTGTAATTTGACATTATTAATTTCTGCGGGTACTTTTTCCACTAAATTAAAAATTTTATTTGGTATAAACATAATTTTTATTCGAGTATCCATATAATTATTTCCAATTACGTTACATAACAATGTTCGCCCCTTAAAAGTCTTTGATATTACGAAAAGGTCTTTTCTATTAAACGCTTGCCGTTCTTTTTAATACTGATTCATACCCAACCTGTGGAATCTTAGAATCCGCAAGAGATGAAAATTAAATTTTAATTGACAAGAAAAAATTTCCCTGGGCCCTGATAATTACTCCGCTGTCCCCGTGCGAATTCGAAGCCTTCCGCAATGCTTTAAATATATTTTATACCCTTAGAAAGAGAAGATATCATAGTTTTCTATAGATTTATAACGATGTTATCTAGTGTCTACTCCGCGCAAGTCATGAATTTTCCATCTTGCGGCGAGGAAAACCCTTTTCTCTTGTTACCAACTGGTTTTACTTGCTGTCAACTAAACTCAGGGCCGCCCTAGCCCGTGTAATATGCCTTCCGTCCGCGAAAATACAAAACCGATTAACAGAAAAACCTAGCTGTAATACTACGCACGTCACTGATTACGAATCCGACAACTCGGATAATCGAAACACGCCTTTTCATTTATTTTTAATTAATACGTCAATTTTCATATCTCGGATCAGGGATTATTTGGTGACCGCCGCTTAAATCGAAACGTCCGAAATGTTTGTCACGTAAATCGAATACAATTCGTACTCTTTTTTTCGTCTGTCTAGATAGGCTAGGAATATAAGCTGGGAAATGACCATTTCGCGACTTTTTGTTTCGGCGAGCCGAATTTATCACTATAGATGCTAAATATTATGTACAACAACATATTAGTTTCCAAAGTTATAAAAATGGGGGGAAAGATTATTTACAGGGTGGTTAATTGTATAATTTTTACGTAAATTCACGTTTTTCGCTTATAACTTTTTTCCGTTCATTTCCACGAAAAAAACAGTAACGTACTTTTTTTTTCGTCGTCGCATCCTCTCATTCCTTATCACTGTCTAATAACTCACACGAAATCTGGAATCGGTAAGTTGAATAGTTTACCAGTTATGACTTATAAACAAATTAACTAATTATTAGTTAATCCCGAGCATCTTCGACAATCGCACTGACTTTTTTCATGGTAGGTTCATAATAATACATTGAAATTTATCATTTTTTTTTAAATTTCAAATTTGCACAATGGAAAGTTTTTTTATTTTTTAACCTTAGTTGCAAAATGAAATATACGACTTACGCGCGTGATACAGTTATATATTATTACATATTTGGAGTTTATGAAAAGAGCTTTAAGTTAAAAAAAAATCGTCAAGATTCGTTGAGTTACAGACTGTCAAATATATTATTTTCTAGCGAATTTCGCTTATTTAACGGCAGGACTATAAATATTATCCTTCCGCCGCGCCACGGCTCGCCGAAAATCAAGCGACCCACTGACTTGACAATATTACTTATGAATTTAACATACTTCCACAAATAAAATATTTTTATCTGGG